TCACCCCCCTATTGAGTGCCTTCTGAGCACCTTTGGGGGCAGGGGTGCTGGTCACTACACTGGTGCAGTTATCTTTGTGCAAAACCCTTCTGGGTTGTCGTTAGAGCTCAGAACAGACCAAACCTGCACCAACTTTCTTTCAAACTGCTTATAATCCTGTGACCACTACACTCTGGAACCCACTAGTTCAAGAGAGGTAAATAATTGAATTTGTTGTTGAAGTGGGAGAAAGTAAATCAAATTCAGAGTTGTTCCTCTCCCTCCCCCCAAGTCCTGAATGTCTACACTTTATTCATAGCTTCAAATGGCATTTCATCCCTCTGTGTGTCATTTGTCATTTGTTTAATGACATTAGAAGAGACTTGTATTTTGAAAGCCTATCTTTGCAATGGTTTCTCACCCTTTTATATGAATAACCTCTTGGACTATATACTACAGTTTCTAGGAAGTGGGTTTTTAAGATGCGCTTTGGACAAATAAACTCTTTTAATAGAGTTTATTGGTTTTGAATAACAATAACTCTTCTTGGGAGACTTTATTTGTCCGTATGCAAATTTCATTGAATAAGATGTGAATGATCTGAAAATCTTGTACAACACAGAAGCCAATTAAAGTAGGACAGAGTCTAAAAATAAAGAGACTAGGTAAAGGGGAAAAATAGGTGCCTGAGAATCAACTTTGAGTTATCATTACTGTTGGGAAGAAGATAAGGTGATAACGTGGAAATTGAAAACCACATACAATCAGAAAACCTTATTCTGGCCAATAGTTATGATCTCTTTTTTTCTTAAGCCATTACTAGAATGCTGACAAGTGGTATTAGAAGAGATTATACATTAAAAGCCCCATTCTGTTCCATAAAACTCAAGCAAGGAAGCATTCAGTAGAACCTGAGTAGATGAAAGCAAATATTGTAGCTTAGATTCACAGGTTGTAAAGTTACTGCAAATATATGTATATTTATGTTTAAACAGTCATTTGCCTTAAATATTTGAGATTTTAATTATGCACACATGCTTGCTTAATATTGATATTCAGTTTGTCCTAATCATCCTCAGGCAAAGAAAATTTGAATTATACAACATGTGTCTACTTCACATTGAATAGTAATTAGTCTGTACGGCTTAGTGGCACTTAATGTTGAGGTTAATAATTCTGGAAAGTTTTAAAAAGCCAGTGACTTGATTCCATATATATATATGGAATAGCTAGAGAACCAGTGAAAGCTTTTATTTTGTGTTAAAACACAGAAAAACCTCTGTTTTACATTTTTACAAATCTGAATATGGAGTCAGGCGACGTGCCTTTGAACTTTGCCATTTATTGAAGATCCAGGCAAAGGAAAATGTAACCCTATTTGGTAGAGACTGTTCTCTCACCTTTTTGTTATTTTCTGTCTGGAGCCTTGTTATGGAACTTCTTAACTCTAAGTTATGTTAGTTAAAAGAAAACTGTGATGATAAAAGAGAAGGAATTTCAATGGCTGGGTCACTTGCTTGTAACCTAGATTTGCTGGTTGTGTGAAAAGGTGACAGTAGGTATTAAATACTTAGACCAATACAGGGAGTAAAAAAATGTAAAATTTCTGGAACTTTGTGGTTAACTTCATATCTGTGTAATTAAATTAAGAACTTAAACTTTCCATAACTTAAACTTTTCTTAACACATTGTGTTAAGAATTTTAGTTTATCTGGGCCTCCCCTGGTGGCGCAGTGGTTGAGCCCTGGGCTGCGAGGCAGCCCGCAGCCTCTGCAGCACTGGTTTGATCCCTGGCCGCTGGCGAGGGTCCCACATGGTGCGCAGACCTCTCCTGCCGCCCACTGCGCCCCTCAGCAGTATATTTTGGTCCTTCTGCCTGTTCTTCTCCCCACTCTGGCTCTGGTGAATTCTCTCGCCCTCCCGTGCTTCTGACTGTACCCAGTGCTTGTATAAATAAATAAATCTTAAAAAAAAAAAAAAGGAATTTTAGTTTATCCTACAAAAGGATTTTAAAAGTAAATCATGAAAATATACCTATGGTAGTAACCCTTAAAAAAAAAAAACACAAAAATTATTATCATATAGTTCTAGAGATCCGAAATGAGTTTTATGGGGCTAAAATCAAAGCATCAGTGGTCTGTGTTCGTTCTGGAGGAAAAATCTGTTTCTACAGAAGAATTTGTGTCTCTGCATTTCCATCATCCAGAGGCTGCCTACATTCTTTGATTTGTGATCTCTTTCTCCTTCCATGCACCCTGATCCAACCTCTACTTCTCTCATCACTTCTCATCTTCTGGAAGTTGCCTCCCTTTTGAGGTTGCTGGAATGTTACTATTTTTAATGCTTACCATTAGAGAACATGGTGGTAGGTTAAAAGGTACATTCATGAAAATATGTGTAAAATATTCATTAATAAATGTGTTTAGAACTTTAAAAAAAAACATGTATTACTCCAAGTAGGCTAAATATTAAATAGTAATGCTTGGATGTTCTAGAATCATAATTAGAAAATTGACTGTAAATTGCTAAAATTCAGTGAGTCAACAAACCAATTAAAAAAAAACCCTCAAGGATATTAGATTTCAAAATGTTCTTCCTTAATTTAGTTTGTCCATTATACTTTACTTTAATTATTCATAGTATTGCTTAACATGCCAGGAAATGTCTTGTAATAGAATTTATAAAATAATGTAGTTTCAATAATATGAATACTATATTTAGCTGTCTCCTTTTAAATCTCAGATTAAAATGTTTTGTAAGGACTCATCTAGTTTGATGTATAAAAGCATGTCTATGCTTAGTAACATTTTTCATTTTAGAATTTTGAAACCAAATACTCATTTGAGAAAAGACATGGAATAATTGATGTGTCATATTTTTGTTGTTGAACAAATAAAACCCAAAACAATGTAAAAAGGAAAAAAAGTACATATTCTAACTAGAACAGTTATTTTTCATTTTGGGTATTATTTTCTAATGCTTATCCATATACATGGCCTTTTTTACTTTCCTTTTTTTGCATAGACAAAATAAGTAGATTGTTCACCGTATTGACAAGCATAATCCCTGCTTACTATTTATCCTGTATCATTCTAGTTATTGAGGGTTACAGGAATGGTTTAGGCGTCATTGACCTTAAGAGGGGAAGTTAAAAATGAAAAATAATAAGCCTAAAGATATAAATTCTACTTGAACATTTGGGCATTCATTTCTTCATTTACCTTTGCTTTTACCAGGGTTTTAGTATTGATGTGGTTTTTGGCATATCCAAGATCTACTTCTGTGTCTTATTCTTACAAATAATGATAAAGTTTCACAAACATGGCTAATAGGTCCTTAGATTTGTTCCTAATAGAAAGGTTATATCTAGGTTTATGTTCTAAGGTGTTTATATGGATAAAATGGAATAAGCAGCTATTAACTCTTCATGATTACACAGCAGTAATTGCTTAAGAGTTTTCAGTTCATTTGATAACTAGGTGATACCTTTGTTCTATTGAAGTTCTTTTTTTCCCTTTGCTAGTGGATGGGTGACATGTTCCTTACCCGATGAAGTTTGGACCGCAAATATTAATGTTTTTATAATATATTTTGTATTCATCTATTATTATTTTACATCCTTGTTCATTTTTTTTACACTATAGGATTTCCCCCCTCCCTCAGGTGTGGTCACCATATTTCTTCCATCATCAAAGCACCCAACATCCTCTACCATAGCCCATGTGCTCTATACCACCTTCACCTCCCTCTTCCTCACCCTCCCCTCCTGGATACTTCAGCTCTATGGTCAGCTTTCAAGGGTTGGCTCTAAAGTTTTTGTCTTTGACTGAACCTGTTTGGTCTCTATATTCCACATATAGGTGAAGCCACCTAGTATTTATCTTCTCTTTCTGGCTTATTCACTTAGGGATATCCCTTCCAGCTCCATCCATATTGCCGCAAATGGTATGAATTTATCTTTTTCTAATCAATGAGTAGTATTCCATTAGTATGTATCTACCACATCTTCTTGATTCACTCATCTGTTCTGGGGCATTTAGGTTATTTCCATTTCTTGGCCATTGTAAATAGCGCTGCAATAAACATGGGGGTGTATGTTTTCTTTCAAATGGTTTTGTGTTCTTTGGGTAGACACCTAGGAGCGGAATAGCTGGGTTGTATGGCAGCTCCATTTTTAGTCTTTTGAGAACCTTCCATACTACTTTCCATAGGGGCGGGACAAGTTTGCATTCCCATGAACAATATAAAAGTGCTTCTTTTCCTCCATACTCTGGTGTTTTTTGTTTTTTAAAAATCTCAATTTGAGAATTATTTTATTTCTTTTTTTTTTAGTCTTGTGTTTCTTTATACTGGAAAACCATTTAAAATATAATATCTGGCCTCGCTAGTGACCATGGGCTACTTTCTACCTGTTTCTCAATATTTGCTATAGTTGGATGCTTCTGCCCAAATGTAATTTGTGTTTTGAGCTTTCATTGTTTTAGTTCATCCTAGTTCCTGGTTTCCAAAGATCTTTTCATGTTCTCTTTCTAGTTAATTACCTGCTTATCTTCTAGAACATAATTCATGTGTTAATTCTCTATAAATTTCTGAATTCTTCTTCCCATGCTCACAACAGAATTAATGACTGTCCTTTCTTTGTTGTCATAGAAGTTTATAGATGGGTCTTACAACAACTGTGAAGCATAGATACGTCATAGTTATTCAGAGCAGGCCATGTGTTACCCATCTTTGGATCTTCTAGGACAAACATCTAGTGAACATTTGTTGAGTTGAAATGTTTAGAACACCATGCTTCTCACGATTAAGAAAGAGGCTCACCCTACTAAATTCCTTGATCATAGCAGCCCTCATTCCCTGTTTCTCAGAAACCCCACCTGTTATATCGTGGCCGTTTGTTTCTGTGAAAATTAATTTGAGAGCAGGCCAGGAAGCATCATTTGTATACGCTAAATATGTGACTTTGGATTCTTCAATGAGATGTAACTTGGAGAATGTCATGTTTGTGTCGCCTTCTGCAGGACCCCAATAGGAGCATTCATACCAGCAGCAGCAGCAGCAGCAGCAGCAGCAGCAGTTGTAGCAGCAGCAGCAGCAGCAGCAGTAGCAGCAGCAGCAGCAGCAGCAGCAGTAGCAGCAGCAGCAGCAGCAGCAGCAGCAGCAGCAGTAGCAGCAGCAGCAGTACCAGTTTTTCAAAGCCTCACAAATTAATGAAGGAGCACAAGGAAAAACCTTCTAAAGACTCCAGAGAATATAAAAGTGCCTTCAAAGAACCTTCCAGGGATCACAACAAATCTTCCAAAGAATCCTCTAAGAAACCCAAAGAAAACAAACCACTGAAAGAAGAAAAAATAGTTCCTAAGATGGCCTTCAAGGAACCGAAACCCATGTCAAAAGAGCCAAAACCAGACAGTAACTTACTCACTATCACCAGTGGACAGCAAGATAAGAAGGCTCCTAGTAAAAGGCCCCCCATTTCAGATTCTGAAGAACTCTCAGCCAAAAAAAGGAAAAAGAGTAGCTCAGAGGCTTTATTTAAAAGTTTTTCTAGTGCACCACCACTGATACTCACTTGTTCTGCTGACAAAAAACAGATAAAAGATAAATCTCATGTCAAGATGGGGAAGGTCAAAATTGAAAGCGAGACCTCAGAGAAGAAGAAATCAACTTTACCCCCATTTGATGATATCGTGGATCCCAATGATTCTGACGTGGAGGAGAATGTGTCCTCCAAATCTGATGTGAGTAGTTTCATTGGTTTCCCTCCTTTCCCTTAATTTGTTTCTAGATTATTTCTGACAGCTTCAGAATAAAGAATTGGAGAAATAAATGACTGCTGAACCATAAGATGGTGGTATGAAAGTAGATGTGGCCTAGAAATGAATTTCCTTGGCTAATGGCAAGAAGGAAATGAAATCATTAAGGAATCTGCAGATTTTTGGCTCTGGTTTAAATCATTAAAGGGAAGCTATATTCTGTAGTATAAGAATGGATCATTTGAGCAGGAGCAGAAAAATCTAGATGGTCAATTGAGCTTAGTTACTTGTGACTTTCAATGATTATTGCTTGAAGAGTGTGAGAAGAATGCAATAAAACTTGAATGCATGGGAAAATTAATTTAAAAAGAAAAACTTAAAAAATATTAGAATGCAGCTGTCATGTTGATCTTCTTGGTCAGTGGAGTCAAATAATTTGTTTACATAGTTGGAAAGCTGGTGATCATATATTTTAAAGTTTTATTGATGCAAAATTGATGTAACGACATGCAATACATATTCAAAATGTAAAATTTGATAAATTTATATATCCATTATATGTGTGTGTATCTGTGAAACCAGATAGTAGAAACTTGAAAATTTTTTTTCATTGTTTAGCCACTGATTTGGAAGGAAAGGGTATGTAATCCTCATTTCAAGGTTTTTGTTGATGAGTAGGATTCTTTTTTTGTGGGTGCCTAAAAGACCGTCTGATTCACTAATGCCCTCCTCAAAAGTTATTTTATATTGAGATTTAAATTTGTTATTACGTATTTCTCTGAGTTGTAAGGGATTTTCAGGTTATTTATTCTAATGTAGCAATGTAAGAAATCTTCACATCTAGTGGCAGAGCTGATAGTAATTCAAAAGATTCTCAATTCTATTTCTGGAGAGTGAACATTATTTACTATGATATTATCACCTTCTCACTTTAACTTTTTCTCCAACTTTGAATTCTTCAGTTACTAATCAGTCCTGAATTGTTCCAATAATCTTCTTCCTTTGGTATTTTGATATTTCTAGACTAGTGAAGGATGGCTGAAAATTGTTCACAATATTTCTCTTTCTGTCCTACATAGTTGCCCCACAAACGTTCTTGGTTTAAGTGAATGACCTTCTAGCAGATTCTCTGGTCTGCATTATTTTGTTCAGGGTAGAAAGCCAGTCAGGATTAGGCATGACGTCAATACCAATCCCTAGTCATTCAGAGGCGCCTACTTCCTTACCCCCCTACTGTCTATAGCTAATCTAACAATTTTAACAGAAAATGATATGGAGAGCAGAGTAGCATATAAATATAGGAAATGGGTAATTTTTTCCAGTGTTTGATAAAGGTTTTCTAGTGATAGTTGGTGAAATGGAGATGAGAGCTAATGGGTTTGTTCCAATACCTCAAATACTTATTTTTCCACCTGTGCTTTTTCCCTCTTCTTTAAATGTAGGTGTTACACAGACCTTTTGGTATGTTTAACTTTTCTTTTAAATCACCTGAGATATTTATTGATGCTGTTGGGGTGTGATTCATCTATCAAGGTTGTTGAGTTTAGTTACTTTTCCTTTCTATATTCTGACATGTTGCCATTCTTCTAGAACAGAGATTTTTCAAATCGTAGGTTGTGGTTCACTGATTAGCCTGAAAATCAATTTAGCATGTCATCACCAGTATTAAAATCATAATACAATGTAATTAGTATGGGTAAGTAATGTTTTGTGAAAATTTTATTTCAGAGGGTGTGTGTATAGCAGATGATTATCAAAACTTTGAAAGACACTGTTCTTGAATATTTGCTGATTTGTGAGGAGACCAAGTGTACTCACATTTTTTTTAATAGATGATATTCATCTTTACATAATTCTTAGTATTTCCTCTTTTTGCTTGCCTCTTGCTCTCTCCCTTTGGATATGGTTTGTAACAGGTGAGAGCTCCCTTATTCACTGATAAGTGTCTAGGTAGGTAGGGCCTCCCTGTTGGTAGAAGGGGTTAAGTCTTAGCACTATGAAGCCATCAGCAGCCTCTGCAGCACAAGTTCAATGCCCAGCCAGGGAACTACCCACATGGTGCAGCAGACCTCTCCTGTCTCGCCCGCTGCTCCCCTTAGCAGTGTATTTCAGTAGATCTACCTGTTCTGCTCCCCACTTTGTCTCTGGTGAATCCTCTCTCACACACACACCCTGCATCTCTGGCCTACACCCCAGCTCTTATATGCATAAATAAATAAAATAATTTTAAAAAAGTGCCTAGGTGAATAGTTAGATAGGTCAGTCTATAGGTCAAAATACCACAAGTCTGTGCTCTGGGGTCACACAAGCTCTTTAGTATCCCAGCCTGGTTAGTGATCTTGGGCAAATGAGCTGAGTCTGTATTATTGTTTCCTTTTTTGTAAAATGGACATCATAATACAAACTACTTCATGGGATTATTGTGAAAATAGCCTGGGTACAGCATTTAGCACACAAATCAAAAAATGTTAGTCATAGTTACCTTACTTGGCTTCTGCAACCTTTATATTATGTAGCTTTGAAAGGTAATTTTTTTTTTGATATTCAAAATTACTGCAGAATTCTAGAGTCATTTTTCTAGAATGGAGGTTATATGCTGTGACGGGGGAAGAAGTCATTGGGAAAGATGTCCTGTTGTTCTGAATTTTGACATGAGGAGGTATATGGCCTTGATATTGATATGTGTCTGTTGCATGATAACTGGAAAAATACAGTACAAAGAATCTAAGTTTTAAATAAAATTAAGAAAATATTTCCCAGGACCTTTTCATTTTTTAGTTAAATGTGATTAAGATGAGAACATACCCAGGACTTTATTGACAGGCACTTGGTAGTTTTGTTGTTGTTGTGGCTACAGTTGTTATTATAAAAAGACATCCTAAGAAATGATTTATCTTTGGGTTACTATTAATAGGCCCTAAAGACTAATTTTTAAACATATTTTACAATTCCTGAACTGTTTCTCATCTTAAAAGGAAGTCTAATATTGTTCCATGAAAGTCCATCAGTAAATTTTCCCTACAGAAAAATTCAAAGGAGAATGGGGTTTTGAAGATCTGTTTCATAGTGAGGAAGCACTTAACAAATACAGAAACATGCTAAAGGTGTGCGTTTGTTATATACTTAATGTTAACATTCAGAGTATTTTTTTTGTTGAAGAAGGAAGGTAATTCCTATTAAAGTTGTTCAGAGTTGTTGGCCTCAAACAGAGGTAGTTATTCCAAAAACAAAGTTGGTTTATTCAGACACACACAACAGAAGAAATGGCAGAAAATGTATTAAAAAGAAAACTCATGTCAAAATCAACAAGCAACTATAAACCAGAGACACACTATGGGGCGGGGTGGGGGGGGGCAGGAAGGAGAGAGGAAGGACTAGGGTCAAAATAAGGGGGGTGGTGCAATTGTATGGGGAATATAACCAAAATAATAATGCATACGTTGTGCAAAAATGAAAACGATATAAGAATTATATAAAATAAAATGTTAATTTAAAAAAACCTTAATAAAAGTTGGATTTAAAAAAAAAAAGTCATGTATCCCCCAAATGGAAAGCTAACACCCCCCTAAATAACCTCCAAAGGACAGCCTCCTTCATCCTGCTGGAGGGGGGAAGCAGCAGTATTTCTTGCGGGAGATGCAGGGCTTGGAGGGGCCTGTGGTTTGTGGATCCAGGCAGGCATGGCATTCTAGCCTCCCAAACTCGTTTAAGTTGGGTTCTAAATATCAGTGCTCACTGGGCTCCTCATTTTGCAGCCATAAGCCAGAGACTATTTTTACTAGTGACTGACACTAACTAGTGGTTGAATAGGGTGAGGCTTTGCAGATATCAGTGTCAACCAGACGTTGATTATTGTGCTTTGTTTTACCCATTTAACTTTAATTGACAAGAAAAAAGAATCCAAATCTCTTTCACTGCCACACCTTTAATTCCCTAGCTTTTGTTTTTTGTATCATTCCGTTTCTAAAGAGAAGTCTAATAAATGGATCTTGTTTTGTGAATACCACCAAGTTTGGTTTTCATAGCACAGAAGGAAGAAAAAAAATGGAAATAACCATTTATGATACGATTTGGTTATGGCAATAATTTTCATATCATCACCATCACCTTTTTTTGTCTTGTTTTGTAGAGATTTCATGATAAAGGTGAAGCAGTTCAAAGCTTTATTTTCCTTGAAAGTGGGTAGATTGAGGGGGTAAGGTGGGAGGAAATGAGCGGATTATATTTGGCAAAATGTCACATACATACTTCAACCTGAAGTGTGAGAAATGAGATTTTAATCATATCTTTTGATGGCTGTGGCATACCAAAGTGTTTTCTTGGATAAAATCTGCTGGAGAAAGACAAGATCCCATTAAATGGTAGCATTTTCCCAAGGTCAGGTGGTGCTTCAGATACAGGATAAATACTTCAAACCACCTTAGTAGAAGTTTCTTCCAAAAGAAAAAAGGAAGAAGGAGGAAAAAGAAACTTCCTTTCTTTTGTTGTGCCTCATTTCCTCCGCCCCACCCTGTTCCGTGCCCTGCTTAAACTGTCTGGCGCTGGCTGTAAATGTCCTGCTGTTGAGGCATTGGCCTTAGGTTTTTATGTGATGGAAGGTTGTCACAGTCAGAGAAGAAGGTCTTTATTGTGTTTTCAAAGTGGCTTTTTAATGACTTGTAATTCCAGCACATGCAAGAGCTGTAAAATCTCTAAGTACCACGAGTGAGCAGCTGGAGAGACCATTCATTAAAGGGCTGCCCTGGCTCTCCAGGGGGGGCTCTCATTCTGGACTCCTGTTCTCTGTAGTTTATAACTGGAGGTAAAAATACCTGAAGGGTTGCAATTCTTCCTCTAGTGTATTCAGCCCAGTGTGGAACATTAATTGAAACAATTGGAAGAAAGTTAATTTGGGGGGTGCCTGGAGATACATCACCTGAACTTGTTTTCTAATGAATGCTCTGTGTCTGCTTTTGTGTCAGAGGATCAGATGGAGGACGTGCAGT